AGTATTCGGGAAACACGTGAAGCGTCTGAATCCGGTAGGGAGAAGACCGGCCGCTTCAATTGTGAAAAAAATGTAAAGGACATTTCCGTCAGAGATTTTTTATTCTCTTTTGTTTCAACACGTAACCACTTACACAGAACTGGCAAATGTGCCACAACATATGACCAAAAAATCTGTAGAATGTGTTCATAGGATGTGTGGGCATATTACTTCCCGGTTGCCCTGACTGATGAGGGGTATAGCCTCGGGGTCCCCACCCGAATCCTTCGACTAATAAGTCAAACCAGGACGTAGCTCAGAATCCGCAATCCATTGGGGGCTGGTGTCCAGTTCATTGGGTCATACGCCCTTTGGTCGGGATCAAACGTCCAAGGTGCCCGATACAATTTCATGTCCAAACGAGCCGGTGGCCACCGCCACAACCAAGAAGGCGTTATGATTCGCATACCTCTTCTTGGTTGGTTTGGAATCAGGGGGTTTAGCCAAATCCTTTAGTTGAACTGCCAGTGGCTCACGGACTCATTTCTAGCCCCGGATGTCGACTATTCGTCTCATCACTTTGGTAGGAAAACACCGCCACGGGAAGGCTTTAAGTACGGCTTCCTCAGCAGAGGCTATTTGAGACGCTTGGTCGTATGGAAGCATTTCGCGAAGAGTACGGGAAAGGTGACCAGTCACACCTCGAGACACCCACCCCAACAATAATAAGGCTTTCGGAGGCTTCAGAGCAGAACAAATTGGTTCAGAAATAAGCCAATGAACAGGGGGAGTTGATAACTGATGTGAAAATGCTTCCATCTTCAAATGCCTAGCGGATTGAGACACTTCAATTCTTCCCATATGTCCCAACAACTCAGACCTGACGCGTTAAACCATACCAAATGTGTTTTGTCATCGTCCGTTCATTTCGCAATGATTGACAACTGTCATTTGTTTTTCACGAGCGGTCAAAACAATGCGATCGACCTACAGCACCAGATGCACACAACCAATCGGGTGGGTGAGTGAACGGGTTTTGTGAATTGTGATCACTCATTGCCTTTTGAGACACAGTTTCCTCCGGTAAAAGGGCAACTGAAGCTCAGCTGAAATTTCTACTCAGCACCAATGTGTTTCCAGGTA